ATATATATATATATGTTTTTTAATATTCAGATTTTATTTTTTGATTTTATTTTATTTTGATGCACTTCACTGTTTTGTTTAATTAGATGCTCCCTTGAATGAAAGTGAAAGCTTTTTTTTTTTTTTTTTTGACCAATAGCATTCACAGCATCATAACAACCAGTGTTTTGGTGAAGTGCTAGTGTCGATTAAGAAAAATCATAATTTTGTTGCTCATAATTTCATTTTGTTGGTGTAATGTGAGGAATATTTAATGTATATGGCATCACACGACATAAAAACTTAAAATTAGATCAATATTTTAATGATAAAAAAATTCCACTAAGGTAAAATTTTGTGTTTTGTACCTTTTTGTTTTATTAAACCAGTAAATTAATTTTTTTATTCACATTTGCCCTTAACTGGTACGTGTTTATTTTGGACACTCAACATGGATTTGCAGCACCGAATCGACTGCAAGTAATCTGTTTTTAAAGAAATGTCTTGTTTTGAAGGAACTTGATTGGATGCTAGTGTTCTGATGATCCTACGAAGCTCCTTAAACAATTTAACCAGTCACTTCACTAAACAACCCCAATGTTGGTTCACCACCACCATCTAGGCTAGTATTTATAGCAAAGGAAAGGAAATTATGATTACATTTTCATTCTGATCAAGAAAATGAGGAAGTGTTGTGATTGACAGTAGACGTTAACATTTTGGACATGCAGACCCATGGCGACTGCAGTGGCCGCGGCGCCTTAAATACTTTCTTGCGGTACATCCTGTTCCTCTGCCCCACGTTCTGCATGCTAAACAGAGCCCCATACGGGCCAATTTGCAGCAGCCAATTTACCAACGTCGCTTTGAATTTGCTGGAAGTAAAAAAAGCAGAGAAGTGCTTGGAGCTTCATGAAATGGGAAGTCTGGAATGGCTAAAACCTTCACTCACATACGCAAATGTACGAAGCCACATGCACTTAGAAAAGTACAGATTATCTGTTCGTCATGCATCCAGATGCGGTAGAGAGTCCCAGGGTGTTAGAAAGAGGCATTTCTGACAGGGATGTGACAGGGCTTAATTAGCTGCTGAACTTAGGAAACGTTTTCTCTAGATTGTTGTCATTTGAATACATTAAGACGCGTTTTTGCTAATGCTAAACTGCTTATGTTCACAGCCACGGATTAGAGTGACACGCGAATAAAAAGCTTGAATGTGTCCCTTCAGAAGAGCTAAAGTAGGCTAGCATGTAGCTATGTGTGAGATTATCGCTGAATGGGCTTTTTTAAACATCCTGACTAACTAAATGCTAAGAAATTCATGCTAATCTTTCAACTTTTTCCTCACATTGTGATGCTAATTATGTCAGTTGCGTTGAAGGAATGCTAAATACTAACCAGTAGCATTTCCGCTAAAGTCTCAGGCTCTGTTTCTCTCTCACGGCAGATACTGAGGGTTGCGAGCACAACTGGAGGAAGTTTCACGGCCACTGCTACAGGTACTTCACCCGCAGACACACGTGGGAAGACGCGGAGAAGGACTGCAGAGAGCACAGCGGTCACCTGGCCAGCATCCATTCCACACAAGAACAGGACTTCATTAATGGTCAGTATCTGGGTTCATCCCAGACAGTCACAAATACACTTCTGTAAATAACTGTTAGCAGATGCACTGACATTCAAACGTTTGGGGTTAGTAAGATTTATTGTTTCTGCTCACTGAGGCTGCATTTATTTTATTGAAAATACAGTAAACAGTGATATTGGGAAATATAATTACAATTTAAAATAACTGCTTTCTATTTTAATAGATTTTAACATGTAATTTATTGCTGTGATCAAAGCTGAATTTTCAGCATCATTACTCCAGTCTTCAGTGTCACATGATCCTTCAGAAATCACTCTAATATGCTGATTTGCTGCTCAAGAAACATTTCTTATTATTATTAATTTTAAAAATAGTTGTGCTGCTTATCATTTTTGTGGAAACCGTGATTTAGTTCTCGCTCTCAGAATTCTTTAGTAAGTTAAAAAGTTAAAAAGAACAGGGTTTCTTTTAAATAGAAATTATTTGTAACATTATACTGTAAATGTCTTTAATGTCACTCTTGGTCAATTTAATGCATCCTTGCTAAATAAAAGTATTATTTCTTTAACAAAAATAATAATAATTCTGACCCCAAACTTTTAAATAATATGAAGTATGCAATTACTTTTAACATTTAAAAATTTGTATTATTTATTATTTGATACTCATATTTGGTTCTCATATTTTCATTTTTGTGGTGTAATGTGATGAACATTTTGTGTATAATATGATAACATTTCGTATGTACCTTTTTTTGTTTTATTTAGCCACCAAATTTTTATTCACATTTACCATCAATAAGTGTAAATTTTAGACATGTTAACATTGATTTGCTGCACAAAATCAACTGCAAGTCATTTGGTTTCACTTAACATTTGCAAAAAATGTCCCTCTGCTTAAAATCATTTGCAACCGACTAACATGTAGCAAATCATGGTTCATGGCTGTAACATAACTAAAGCTTAATATTCATTAAAAATTCACTCTCATTAAACAGAAACCAATTCTTAAATTCTGTATTTTGCTGAACCCTGTTCTTCATGGGATATAAAACCGCAAATGGCCGGTATCTGTGGCTAATCTTTGTCTGTTTTACCCAATTAGCTTTGACTAAAACTATTTGCATAGCCTAGATTCATTAATATCCAGCCAGATAACTAAGAAAAGCGACAGGATGCTGACCTCCTGTACACCACAGATTGCATTATGTCTCCCTCCCCTAGTCGAGCCTAAATCCAGCGCTAAATGATGCTCGGTGTGGCCTCTCACAGCATGCTGTCTGCACACAGGGCCACGGCGCTCACCAAAAAGTGTGTTTAATCGCCTTGAAAATGGACATCTCCACCCCTGCAATAAAGGGGGCACAGCCATTAGGAAGATTAATGGGCCCTGTAATGATGTTAATCAGTAAGACCATGATTGAAATTCCATTACAGCCAGACCAAAAAAAATAAAAAAATCCTCGCAAATGCATCTTGGGACGATCTGATGGCTTCTGGCTTGAGCTTGAATTGTGATTGTGATAACACCATCATTTGGCTCCCAGTGGCCCTGTAGGAGACATAAAGCAGACTACGACTTAAAGTGGAAGCGTTAGCTCTGCATTTGATGACACTAAGACTCTATTTACTCATGGTATTAACCGTCTTCAGTGGTTGTCTTGGTTGCTGGTTACACCTGGTATCAATATGAGTGTTTTCATCAGATATATGGTGTGATTAAAGTGTGATTAAAATATGTACTGGAAGTAAAAACTTCTAAATAAATGCAAATCATGTATGTTTTTAATGAATAAAAAAAAAAGTATTTGAAATGTCTTGTGGTTTTTAAACAGGACTGTGCCATGAAAACACATGGATTGGTCTGAATGACAGGATGGTGGAAGATGACTTTCAGTGGACTGATAACATGGATCTGGTGAGACTGGCACAATCAGTATAACATTTATACAAAGTATACAAATTTGTATAATATTTTATATTTTAATTGTATGTTTACCTGAAACATCTACATATTTAAACTAAATATTTAATTTAAATACTTATAAGTAAATAGAACATTTGATATAAATATTTAAATGGACATTTATTTTTATATTCTACTAGATTTTTTAGTTAAATTAAAAAAAATATATTTGTGTATATATATATAAAAATATTTATTTAATAGATGGTTTTTATTATTTATATATTTAAACAAAATATTTAATTGAAATATTTATATCCATTAACAAATAAAATATTATATTTAAAATAAGAATTTAAATTAACATTTATTTAATATTTAATTCATTTATAATTTAGTTTTTACCCATCAACAAATTAAAAATACTATATAATTTATTTGTATGTTTAAAATAGACAAAAATTCAAATAGGATTTTAATATAAATATTTGAATGGACAGAAATAAAATGTAACGTTTAATTTTATTAGATTTTCTAAATAATATTTTATATCAGCTTTATTTTAATGTTTTATTGGATTATTTCTATATTTAAACTAAATATTTAATTGACATATTTATTTCCATTAATAAATAAAATATTATATTTAATATTTTAATTTTAATATTTAATTAAATTCGATTTTTTTTTTTAATCTTAATATACTGTATAATTTGTATGTTTAAAATAGACAATAAATAATGTAATTTAATATAAATATTTAAATTGACTTGTATTTTAATATTTTATTGGCTTTTTAATGTTATTTTTATATACATTTGGTGTATTTATGTATTATAAATAGGCTTTTTATTGAAATATCTGTATATTTATACTAGATATTTAATTGAAATATATCCATCAACAGATAAAATATTTAACATTTATTTGATTATTTTATAGGATTTAATATTTTATCCATCAACAACTGAAACATTTAAAATACACAACAAGTAAAATATTAACCTTAATGCAATTTTTTTATTAAATATTTATTTTTAGATCAATTTGAATTATTCAACCATTTTAAATGGACCTTTCATTGAAATCTTTACATTTATTAAACTCCCCCATTTATTACACATCTTTACTAAATATGTAATTGAAATACTTATATCCATCAACATACAAAATATTACATTTAATATATTTTTTAATCATTTTAATAAATTATTTATAAAAACATGTACATTTTAATACAAGTATCAAAACATACAGTACAATGAATCACTTAAACTAATCACTGTATGATAATGAAGGCAGTGTGATCAGATAGATCATGCAAATGAAGCACAAGTCTCAAGTTTTCAAACCATTTAGGCACCAAACAAGTTTATATAATGTATTATATCAGACCCATTAGGCGTATCTGAAAACCCATTTGTAATGCAATGGATATATAAGACGGTACACGAAATACCTAGTAAAGCCATGGGATTGGATTTAGCCCTGAAATATCCCCGTTCCTCCTCCAGCAATATGAGAACTGGAGGGAGAACCAGCCGGATAATTTCTTTGCGGGCGGAGAGGACTGCGTGGTGATGATCGCCCATGAGAACGGCAAATGGAACGATGTGCCCTGCAACTACAACCTGCCCTACATCTGCAAGAAAGGCACAGGTGAGCTGAAGAGGGGAGGAATTGGGAAAAGAGGACAAATACTGTACCGCCTGGCTTTCTACTACACTGTACTGTTTCCTTCAGTGCTGACCTCCTTTTGTTAACTTTATTCACACGTCTTCATGAGATGTTCCTCAAATGCATTTATATCTCTTCCTTTGATTGAAATCAGTGCTGCTTCTTCTGTCATCACTTACTTTAATGTTATTCACATCTCATTTAACTTTATTTCTTCTGTGGAACACAAGATTTATTTTGAATAATGTACTGGTCACACTTTTCCATGAATCAGTGAGTTGAACTCAAGAACCTGATGAGTCTGATTCATGAACAATCATTTAGACTGGTTGTGAGAATAATTCAGCGATTCACTGTAAAGATTTAAGTCAAAAGATTGATTTGTTCTCACACAAAGCTATTATCATATGATTTCAGAAGACTTGAAATATAGTTCCTGAGTAATATCAACCACTTTTATGATACTTTTATGCTTTTGTCCTTTTTTATGCTTTTGTGTACTTTAAAAAAAAAAAAAAAAATCCTGTTATCATTTACAAATCAAACTACTGTCAAACTAATTAAATATTAAAATATTAAATCAAATATTTATATTAAAATTTTTATTTTAAAAAATTTATATTTTTAAATGTTTAATTCAATTCCATTAAAGTTGATTTGTATAGCGCCTTTCACGATACAAATCGTTGCAAAGCAGCTTTACAGAAAATTTTAAGTTTCAGCATTATATTTAGTAGTAGGTTATTAGTGGTGACTATGGCAGAAATGTACAGTAAGAATCATGCAGTTAGTTACAAATTACACGTAATCAAACAAACAGTGAACACTATTAACTGCAATGATTAGGGGAGAGTGGGGACGGTTTCAACACTTTTTGCATTTCCTTTTAATATTTATCTATCCACAAATGAAAGAATTATATATATATATATATATATATATATATATATATATTACTGTTTAAAAGAGGTGTCCTTTAAACGACCTGTTCTCCGGTTGACCCTTGTGAACCCAAAGTGTCTCATGTCGTTCCAAACCTGTACGACTTTCTTTGTTCTGTGGATATTTTGAAGAATATTGGTAACAAAACCATTTTGGTTCCCACTGGCTTCCACTATATAGACTAAAAAAAATACAATAGAAGTCAATGGGAACTGAAACTTACCAACATTCTTCAATATATCACAAAGTAAAAGAAAGTCATACATGTTTGGTATGACATGAGGGTGAATAAATGATAGCAGGATCTTAATTTTTGACCAAACTATCTCTATAACCAAGATCGATATTCCAAATCATTCCATTCCTCACTTTCTTTTTATGTCACTCTGAACTTGTCATGTCAGTTCGTATGACTTCATTTTCACCAGCTCTCCGTTTCACCAAGTCATCTCACGTCTTTTCGCCATCAGACAGTGGCCTCAACAATAACTGTCACTCATTTCGTTCTGAGGATGTGATGGTGGGTCCTCAGGAGGGCTGCGTGTTCAAAGCATCGATCATGACATGGCGGACATGACTGGTTCTCTTCAGCCACTCGTAGTCGTCTAGCTCTGACACAATCTGCTTCACCCACACCTCTGTGGGCTCATTAGACTCGTTTTATCTGGTCATTTACATATGAAGCAGACTGAGGGTATGGAATCCGTCGGGTCCGTCTGCCCTAGCTAGATATAAAGAGATACCTCTGGTTCACAAGGGCCAACCGGAGAACAGGTCCATCAGAGAATGCCTCTCAGGAGGCCCAGACCATGAAAGACCTGCTCTGGAGAGCCAGTGAAATACGTTTCTCACTTCCTATTGAATGCCTGCCCTCCGTTCCATAATTTAATACTCAATTCATTATTAAAAAGTGTTTGAGCTTACGAGGTAGGCTGGCTTACGTGTTTAAGCTTACATGGTAGATTTCAATAGGATTTCAAATGAGATGTTTAACTGAAATATCTACATATTTAAACTAAATATTCAATTGAAATATTTATATTAAACTAATTATGATGGTAAATAGTAAAATATTTAATTAAAAATGTATATTACGTATATTATATAAAGTATATTAAGTATATTAAGAGATATTTTGTTTTTTTAATTTAATATTTATCTATCCACAAATGTCATATGAATTAAATCGTATTGAAATATCTGTATATTTAAACTAAATATTTAATTGAAATATTTATATAAATTAACAAAAATATTATATTTATTATAAATATTTAAATGTAACAAGTCTCATTAGCTTTCCAGAGCAGGTCCATCATGGTCTGGACCCCCTGAGAGGTGTTCTCTGAAGGACCTGTTCTCCGTCGGCCCTTGTGAACCCAAAGTGTCTATTTAATTGAAATATCTGTATATATTCGAACATAAATTTTATTTGAAATATTTGTATCAAACTTATATAAAAAAAAAAAAATACAATATCACTTTTAATATAAATATGTGAATAAAATGTACTTTAATATTTCATTAGATTTTAATATATATATTAATCTATTAATATATATATATATATATTACATTTTATTTAAATATCTATATATTGAAACTTAATACCAGAGTTGTTCTGTCATGGTCTGGACCTCCTGAAAGGTATCTTCTGGAGGACCTGTTTTCCAGTTGTGAACCCAAAAGTGTCTCTTTAGATCTAGACTAAACGATCTCTTTAGATAAACTAGACGAAAGTTCATAATTTCTCAGAAACTCTTCAAATACACATACACATTAGCATTGTTATTGTAACGGTCTACACAGGGGTTACTCCTGGCAGTAGCCGCAGATTTGAATGGATGGTATGCTTGTTCAGTTTTGAGCAAACAGTCGAATGGCTGGCACACGTACACAGCTCAGCCAGCTGTCATTTGCAAGACCACCTGGGAAACATTTCCAACCACCCCCACCACCTGCCTCGCTGTCCCCTTTTGTCCATCAGCCCTCCCCCAGTCATTCTATCATTCAAACTGTCAGCGCTATTGATCATGCAATCCCTCCAGCCTGGCCTTAATACAATCCCTTAAGAACAGCGAACAATAGGCAGTCACATGATATTAACTTATATATGTGCTTTAAACAGATCTTCTGCAATATCAGTCGGTATGTTTCTCTCGTGATGTAATAGTTTTTATGCTGAGCTCCAGATTTTGCTGGAGGTAAAGATGCCTGAATCCAGAGTGTTGAGCACAAGCCTCAGGGTGATGCTGACTCAGTTGAAGAACCCCTATCTGTGTCTGTGATATTGAATCACCTTGACTTCTGCCTGCCAGCTTTGATATTTGTATGAATGAGGTGAGATGCATCCTGGGGCATTCTGCACGGTCTGGTCGATATGATAGCGCTGCGATAAACCTCTTTCCTTTGTCCTCTGCAAAAATGCTTCAACTTCAACTCAAATAGGAAATCTGTTATCAGTCTCTTCATATGTGCAAAGTAACCTGCCGCGTATAACATACTGTAAGCTATATTAACAACATAGATTCAAATGTAAGGCAATTTTTAAAATTTTGCATTTATAATATTTTAGGTTTGTGATTCAAATATATAATTTATTAGATTAATTAATAAAACTAAAGAAATAATATTATATTTAATTTTAAAATGAATAACTTTTAAGAAATTCAATATATGCATTGATAAACCAAAAATCTAAATGTAAGAAATTTTATATTGATTTTCTTAAAAGTTATTCATTTTAAAATTAAATATAATATTATTTCTTTAGTTTTATTAATTAATCGAATAAATTATATATTTGAATCACAAACCTAAAATATTATAAATGCAAAATTTTAAAAATTGCCTTACATTTGAATCTATGTTGTTAATATAGCTTATGTTATACGCGGCAGGTTACTTTGCACATATGAAGTGACTGATAACAGATTTCCTATTTGAGTTGAAGGATATATACATATCCTAGAGTCTGGAGGAAGGGTGGAGAAGCTCATAGCCCAAGTTGCTTGAAGTCCAGTGTTAAGTTTCCACAGTCTGTGATGATTTGGAGTGCAATGTCATCTGCTGGTGTTGGTTCATTGTATTTTTTGAAAACCAACGTCACTGCACCCGTTTACCAAGAAATTTTGGAGCACTTCATGCTTCCTTCTGCTGACCAGCTTGCTGATTTCATTTCCGGCAGGATTTGGCACTTGCCCACACTGCCAAAAGCACCAAAAGTTGGTTAAATGACCATGGTGTTTGTGTGCTTGACTGGCCAGCAAACTCACCAGACCTGAACCCCATAGAGAATCTATGGGGTATTGTCAAGAGGAAAATGAGAAACAAAAGACCCAACAATGCAGATGA